TATATATAATTTTAAGATATACATGTTCCCTCTAAGCTCATGTATCCTATTTTTTTAGATATGCCGTTTCCCCATATCACCGTTTCCGTATCCGCGCTACATAACTTAATAGTTATTTTTTTTGCGCAAATGACAGATATCTTCCAAGTAGGTCAAATTACATCTAGACTCCTATAGTTAGAAAAAAAAATAGTTATTTCTCTTCTGATATGGTTTCGATTATGAGTGAAAGTCGGATGAATAAGATCGAAAACTAGCCTTTCTGAGAAAAAAAATTTCAGAAATCAAATAGAACTTTTTGATCCAATTCCGAAAATTTTGGAATTCAAAATTATTTTCCAATTATGGAATTTTTGGTAATATTGGAAAATCGGAAATTACAAAAGAATCACAATTGCGACAATTTTTGAAAGTTTACCTCAAATTATTCAAAATTAAACGGTAATTCTCGGAAATTTCAAATATATTGTGTTTTTGTTTGATAATTAAGTTGAATAAAAACTAATATAGTCCCACTTATTAACAATATACAATATGCAAATTATAACATAAAAGAATAATTTAGTGAAAATCTCAAAATAATAGGAACTATCGGAATTATTTTTTTAATATCAAAATTGTATCAAAAATTAATATGGTGGTATTGAATACTAGATGCCGTTACTTAAAAAAAATAAAAAAATAAAAAATACTAGATGCCCAACCGGCTGCCCTGACCCTACACAGTATTAAAAGACAAATTTATAATATGAAAATTCTAGGGTATTTTATTTTGTGACTATTAGGGTTTTTGTTGTCTGTATTAGGGTTTTAGGGCTACTTTAATATATTGGCGACAAAGATGAAGAAATTAATGGTGGTTTCTTCGGTGGTACTTGGTATAGGTTATTGCCTGAGTTTGTTACTCGACGAATCTCAGAAAAGAAAAGTAATCGCAGCTGAAAAACAGTTTTTAAAACGGATTTGGTGCAACTCAATCGAACTAATAAACCCCGTTCCATGTTCAACGGCCGATCAAGACGCCGTTCCATGTTCAACGGCCGATCAAGACGACTCTTCTTCGCCAAATATGCCAGATGGCGACGATGGTTTGCTACCAAAATATACACTATGTAGTTTTTATTTATGTTTATACGAATTCGCGTATCAAACTTTTGTGTGTTTGCATTGTTTTCCTTTTTCCAGAATTTACCGCGGAAACGAGACACGTTTCGCCTCACTTCCTGACCAAAATTGAATCGTTCTCCTTACTTTCCGAGTACGGGATTGAAAAGTACGAAACAAGAGTATTCGAATCCGGAGATTACAAATGGTATGTCCCATTCTTTTTTGTTATTATTCACCTCATCCGATTTAATTCTTACAAATGGTATGTCCCATTCTTTTTTGTTATTATTCACCTCATCCGACTTAATTCTTACAAATGGTATGTCCCATTCTTTTTTGTTATTATTCACCTCATCCGACTTAATTCTTTCTTCTCCACATGGTTCCCTTTTCTTTTATTTGACTCAACACTATATCTAATCTTCAAAATAAACTATATATATAGTGTTATAAAAATCGAAATTGGAAATTTTGATACGAGTACGTTTTTCTTATGCAGATTTTGAATGTATGTTTGATACAACATAACATCGATTATATACCGTGTGTTTTCATCATGCTACGAACGTAAATCTTTCAATTCCAGGCGGTTCTTTTTTTCCCTCCGTTCCACAACATCTTTATGTTCTTCTTTATGTTTACTGAACAAATGTGATAATTGTTACTGACTATCACAAATTAAGAAGAAAAGCGCATTGAAACTTTCGAGAAAAACAACGGCCCACTTTCCTTTTAGTAGATCATCCTCTGTATATAATCAATAGCATTTCGTTAAGCATATTTAGCACTATAGGCAACGGTCATAACAATTAATAAAATAAATAAAGACTATTTCGTCTTTGGTGCAAACCCTATGATTTTTATGAATTGTGTTTGTTGTGTGAAGAGTGTAAATGAAGCATGATGACCCGGTTAGACAAAAGCTCGATCTTGAAGTTTGCCCAATGTTTCTATATTAGTCCAACTCGTTCCCATATTAGTCCGACTCTTCACCTTTTCGTCATAAATTAGAAAAATAAAAATAAAGTAATAATAATAATAATAATAATAATAATAATAATAATATAATAATAATACTAATACCAACATCCGCATTGTAACTCTGGTTAGGATGCTGCAGCTGCCTCGTTTTATTGGAACCTGGGTCGACCTCCCTTTTT